ATATCTTCGCTAAAAAAATTTGAAAATTTAAGTTGCAGTTTCTCAGAATGTGACTGTTTTTTGTAAATGTGGCCTGGAATGAAGTGATTTAGGTAAACAAATAATTTATTGGGGATGTTCTATTCAATATAACAAGTGTCTCCATATAAAATCCGAACAGAGTCAGACACTCACAAAGGGAAGTTGATGTGAATATGCACTGAGAATGTGATGTGAAGACCAGGGCCTGGAATGCTGCATCGTCAAGTCAAGGAATACTAAACACTTGCCAAAAAGCCATGTAAAGCTAAGAAGAAACAACTTAAGAGCCGTCTCTCAGTTTCAGAGAGAGCAGGCCTTAAAACACCTTGATTTTCGATGTCTAGTATCTAGGACTGTGAGAGAACAGACTTCTTTTTTAAAGCTGTCAGTGGGTGGCACTCTGTTACAGCAGCTTTGGGGGTCTATCACACTTGGGAACAAAGTCCCTGATACACAGCTCTCCCCACATTTCTCATGCTAAGCCCAACACTTGGAATGGCCATCTTGTATGACCAGGGCCAATTCCAAAACCAGGAACTACCGTCTTCAACCAACTGATCCACTAATAAAAAAAGCTTATGGATCCAACCTGTGTATGCAAAATACCATTTATTTTGTGGTTCCTAAGAGCTCTTTTTGATTCTGATAAACTATGCCCATACTTAGTCTACTCTTGCAAGAACCTCAGTTCCTCTTCTTCAGACTGGAGTAGAGCACTTTACTGCTCACCCCCAGCCACCTTCAGATCATTGTTCATGTGTGGACTGTCATTAAGCTGTAGTTGATGGCCTTACAAAAGAAAACACAGGCCTTGAGCATGAATCCCTTTGAATTCAACCTGGGAGGCCTACCTGAGTTCTAAGCAGAACTCCAACAATTTGAATGTAGTCCTGTTTCTGGTGCTCATTAAGAATGGGCTTTGCTGCCCTCACCTTTACTGTTCACTACAATCTGTTGCACAGTTGATTAATGTACTCAGAAGCATTTCCATTCCATAATAACTTCACTTGAAAATTCCTTCATTTGACTCTGAAGCTGGCTCAGGGATGTGTTTGGCTGTGACACCTGCCAGTTGGCAGGCCTAAATAGACTTTCATCTCCTTGAGATTCCTTCTATCCTTTTCAGTCAGATAATCTAAGTTCTGCTTTTAACTTCAGAATCCAGACTAGACTGAAGGGAGTTCATAGATTATGGTTGTTTGATAATAATTTTAGAATAACATCCAGGGTAACATAGTACACACACCCTGGTTATGAATAGATGCCTGTTGTGTTCACAGTGCTGTATGAAGTGGAAAAAATTAAAATTCAGGAGAAATACTAGACAATTTGCAGAATGAGTTGTGTTAGTCAGCTTTGTGTATGGTAACAAATACTAGAGATGACTCAATGAATGAGAAAAGGGTTTAAATTGGATTGTGGTTTCAGGGATTTTGGTCCATGATCCCTTGACTCTGTTGCTTAGGAGCTGTGGTGGCACAGTACACCATGGTGGGATCACATGAAGACCTGCTCACTCCATGGTGGCCAGGAAGCTGACAGAAAAAGAGGGAGAGAGAGGGGAGAGGAGAGACTGAAGGAGAGAGGGAGAACACACACGCACACACACACGCACATATCTGGAGGGAGAGAGGGAGAGAGAGAAGAGAGGAAAGAGAGAGAGAGAGAGAGAGAGAGAGAGAGAGAATGAGAACACAGGGTCCAGCTTCCTGATATCTTTTTCATTACAGAGTCTCTAAAGTCCTTCCACCAGGTCTTACCACCTAACAGTTCGGTAGTTCCTTCCTAGTGAAATAAAGGTTCTTTCCATTAGGCACCAGAACCAAATGCTGAAAACTAAGCCATTAAAACATAGACTTTTGTGGGACACTTTACATAGATTTCTCCTATATCTGTCTCTTCAAGGCTCTTTTCTATCCCATTATCCAAAATGCTGTCAATCCTTTACAAGAATCCAAATAATTGGAACAACCCAAGCCTCTTCTAAGAGACCAAGTCAAAAGTCTGCTCCACGACTCAAGGCAAACTGTTAGTTATATGCCCCTGTAAAGATAAAAACAATTCATAAAGTTTTGTCTTACAATGGTAATATGTAACCAGAATTGGAGTAATAGGGGCATGGGAAGGATCAGACCAAAGTGAGGTTAAAACCCAGTAGGACACACAATAAATTCTAAGTCTCCATATCCAGTAGATGTAACAGGAGGAGTGGGTTGCTTGTTGTCCTGGCCGCCCAGCTATCTTACACCCAAAATAATCACACAGAAAATGTATTCATTTAAATACTGCCTGGCCAATTAGCTCTAACTTCTTATTGGCTAATTCTTACATCTTAATTTGACCTATTTCTACTAGTCTGTGTATCGTCATGTGACTGTGGCTTACCGGCAAGATTCTAATCAGCATCCGTCTCAGGCAGGAGATCCATGGTGTCTGCCACTCTGCCCTTCTTTCCAGCATTCAGTTCTGTCTACTCCACCTACCTAAGTTCTATCAACCAGGGCAAGGCAGTTCCTTTATTCATTATCCAATGAAAGCAACACACAAACAGAAGGAACTCCTATACCATTTCCCCTTTTTTGTTTAAACAAAAAGGAAGGCTTTAACTTTAACATAGTAAAATTACATACAACAAAATAGTTACCAAGCGAATTTTTGAGGGCTTGGGAAATCTTACCCTGTAATCTTTATGACTGTAATACACATACATGGCTTTTGGCAAGCACACCACATTTCACATCTCTAACTAACTGCCTCGTATCTCTACTTCAGTTTTTGTTGCATATTCATGTTCAGTTCTAGCATTGTTAGGTTCAACACTATCATACAGTGTCTAGCCTCTCAGTCTTTAAGAAAAACAATCTCTGTGGAAGGTTCCATGACATGATGACTCTTGCATTTTGTGTGGCTGCAAACCCAGGTTTGCTTGGATGATATGAGGCCTACTGTCAAAGCAAGGCACGCCTGTCAAGTGTGAACCACAACAGAAGTGATTTCAGTGTGCCCAGAGAGCTGAATGTGGGGAAACAAACAAGGATAATTCAAGAGTGACTCTGAGCAAACATGTCGTCCAAGGCTCTCTTTACAGAGAAATTTAACTGAAGTTAGATAACAGTGTTATACCTTTGAGTATACAGTGGGTAGGACATTGCTGACTTCTAAAATGCCTTTAAGGTATAGCTCTCATCATCCTGGTACAAACTGGCTCCTTTATAACAGCTCTAGTCTTCTTAGCATCTACGTCATCCTCCATTGGAACTTTATACAAACTCCTTTTTAGATCAAAGGGCAAGTTTTAGGAATCTTTATTTTCCTGTTGTTTTAACTCTTATTGAAAATCTAACGAAAACCACCAAACGACCACTCTTTCACCAAGGCCTGCATTAGATACTGTCTTGAGATCTCCAACAGAACAAGTATTCCATTTTTTTAAAACTTCACTTCCCAAGTAGTCTGAGAGCATGGACAAAATGAACTCAACTTCTTATCATAGTGTAAGGAAGGTGGCTTGTGGTCTAATTTGCAGTAGAGTTCTTATTTCTACATGCGACCATAGCAGTAGAAAATTAACTCTGTATATTCCTATCAATATTCTAGTCTTCTGAGCCCTTGCCGTTATGGATTATGAAACTTTACCTTATAAGTTCTATACTTTCTCTAGCTGATTTCTCTGAAATTTTCCAAATCCCTCTTGCAAACCAATTCTGAAAGTTTCTGAACCATACCATCATATAGTAGTATTACATTAATGGTCCTACTCATGATACCAACCAGTTTTTGTCAGTATAGGGAAGTGAACCTTAAGTGTTGTATGTGACAGGGAAGCATTAGACTCCTGAGCTATACCACCTTTTTAAAAATTCTTTCTCTACTTTAAATTGATCAGGCAGGCTTTGTACTTAAGATCCTTCCACATCAAACTCTTGGGTAGCTGGGATTATAAGTGTGTACCACCAAGCCCAATTTACCAACTTTCTGTTTTATCTTTATCCCACTACAACAAATACCTGAGATAAATCAATATATAAGGATACTTTAAAATGATAGCATAATTTTGAAGAGTTTTCATATCAAAACAAGGAGGGTGAGGGGTTAGACTTGTGAGTTTATATCTATCATAGCATACTGATAAACATTTCCAGGCCCCCACCCTCAATCAAGAAGCACCCAGATTGCTTCAAGTTTTTTATGGGGCAGTGCTAACATTATCTGAAATGTCTGTCAAGTCTGTAATAGGGCAGAATCTATATTTATGAGGAAGGAAGAATAGTCTTACATAACCTTCAGTGGTGGAAAATGTCAGTACAAGTCATGAAAGAGAGACTGAGGTTGGAACAAAATCTAGACCTCAATTTAGCAATTCTGCTCTAATAATAATAGTAAAGAGATACTAAACTGCCTACAATGACATGCATATTTCTCTCTAATGGTTTCACTACCTGTTATTAAATTATTTTAATACTGTGTTCTGAAAACAAAAACTCTGCTGAAAATGTATTTGGATACTGACAAAAAGAACTTTGACAGTAGTTGTGTGTTCAAAATAGCAATAAAAAAAACCATGAAGGAGTCTATGATAACTTCCATGTCTCAACCCTCTTAGAAAGAATTTGGAACCATGTGACTAAGTTCCAGGTGATGGGCTCAGTCTTTGTGAAGGGTGCTATTCAAAGTCTGGATCATACAAGTTTGTACTTGTATGCATCTGAGGTTTCTCTTTTCTGTGTCATCACAAAGCAGAAGAGAGCTGGCTTCTGGAAGGAATTTGAATTGTGGTTCATTGCTAATTCTGACTCGTCTGGACTTGAGCAAAGATAAGTACATACTGTTTTAGCTTTTGGTTGGTAAGCTGCTCGTCACGATGGTTTGTGGTCACAGCTCTGTTAAACTGGCTTCATGAAATGGGTCCCTAGTGTCGAGCAGATATGGCAGAAAATACTAAGATGTTTCTCATTCTTATCCTCTGTTCTTCTTCATAGTGACTTCCAGAATGAACTGTAAAAGTACATTTGGGTTGGAATTGGATTATTCATTGATTGTCCTGGTGCCCATATGCTGATCTGCAAGCTTATCTACATGGTCTTCAGATAAATATGATCAAGATTTGCAGGTGGGTCAGAGGTGGAGTCCACTTATCATGACAGTGTTTCTCCATATGGGAATTAATTCTCAGAAGTCATTGAAAAGTATGAGAAATAAGTCTGCATGCTTTCATAGCTCAGGGTACGTGCCATTCCTCCACCAACTCCATTTCCCCAGCCCCCACAAGGATGATCTTGAATCCTTTCCTTAGGTACTGGGCATTTGTTAAGTTCCAAGGCTGGAATCCTATATGTCTACAAGGATATTAAGTTAACAGATACAGTTAGGGGATAAATCCTATATCCATCAATTTGTTTGTTCAAGCTCTAACCCTCAAACTTGAGTCATGTGACTGTATTTGAGAACAGAACCTCTCAGAGACAACTGAGATAAAATGAGGCTATGGCTTTAATCCGACAGGCCTGGTATCCTCACAAGAAGAAGAGGAGATTGCAAGGGTGTGGGAAGAAGGAGAAAGGTCACTTGAGGACAAGGTGAGAAGGAAACCATCTGCCTGCAAGCTGAGGACAGAGCTCTAAGGAGAAATTAGACACACCAACCCTTTATTCTCAAATTTTATAGACTCTAGAACTGTGTGAACACTAATTTCTGTTGTGTTATAACCCAGTTTTTGCATTCTGAGACGCCCCCCACAAACTCACATAGTAATTAATGCTCAGATTAATAGCAGTAGCTTGAAGACATTTTTTCATCTTTTATTTTTGCCCAGTCAACTCCCCACATACAGGAAGACCAAATCATCCTTAGCCTGCTCTCAGAATCCTCAATATGGTAGTAATACATTCTGCTACAACAAACTGACTCTTTCAAATGGTAGCTTTCTCTCCATTGTCTGTGAAACCCCATGTGTACCTAGGACAAGAAAAAAGTGATGTCATTTAAGAAAACTAGAAATGATAAAATCCTGAGAATGTCTGCTAAACAATCAATATTCTGCATACAAAAATAGTCTTTAAGATCTAAACTTCCTCATGAATATTTTAGGACAGCATAATAAGAAGTTCTTTTTGTTTCTCAATACAATTAAATATTACACTTTTGAAAAGCAAATGATTTTTAAACTGATAGTTTAATGGGTTATCTTTTTTAATATTGCTCATCTATATCAAGAAATATCAGATCCCCTCAACTGAATGCATATTAATCAACTTTAAATAATTAACAAGGTATTTTTACTCCTAATAATCATATTAAAGTTTGAGACACTAATTCTGAAAACATACAAAAAATATTTTATTTAAAATCGAGAAAAGATTAGTCAGACAATAATATGAGTCACAAAGTGACTGATGTGATTATCTGGCAAAATTTAGCATAATTTAGTTTGGAAGAGGTGAGTGTTTAGAAGAAAAAGATAACTGAACATCACTAGATGCCTGAACCCGTAGACAAGGGCAAGCAAACCATTCGCTATGGTGAAATCTCGCTGCAATCAGTTAAGCTTTCTTCAGATAAGTTTTTATTGTCAATGGCTGCTTTCAAGCTACCGATGAAGAGCTGGGTGATATCTACAGAGACCATGGGCTTCACAGAGCCTGAAATATTTACTATCTGACCCTTTATAGAAAAAAAAGTTTGCCTAGCCCTTCTCTAACCTCTCAAATCAAAACAAATACACGAATAACATAGCAAGGAATTTAATTTTAGCTCACTCATTTCCCAAACCGTCTTCCTGGTTGTATTTTGGGAGAGCAGGGTGTAGACCAGCTAGACCACGAACTTGATCCACAGTGCTCACTCTCTCTACTTCTAATCATTTCATGTGATTGATTTAAAATACGAGGAAAGCCACAGCTGGTGGTTGTTAAGGGTTCAGTGTGCGCCTATGTGATGGTTATCCTTCACTGCCAACTTTGATTAGGTTGAGAGATGCCTATGGAATTAATGAAGCACTGCTCTAAGTATGACTATGATGGCATGTTTGGAGATGATTAGATCATGAGGGCTCTGAAGTGATTCCCTGGTAGAGTCTTGGAAGTGGGAAAAGGTGGGCTAATTGGAGGAAGTAGGTTACTGGGAAACATGTCCTTGGAAAGTCTATTTTGCAGAGGCCTCTTCTTTTGTTCCTTTTACTAGGCTTCCTAGCTGACATGATATGAAATGTTTGACTCCATCAATGCTCTAAATGTCATGATGACACTAACACCTCTGAGACCAGGAATCAAAACAGATATTTCACGCCTTAAGTTTTATCTCAGTGAAAATAAAAGTGATCAACACACCTGCCAGTCTGTCTCAGTCCACTCTTTGCAATGCACTTCACTGGCAGGGCAGCTATGGACCCTGACTGGCCTTGAGCTGCTCTCCTTTATGCATATGAGATGGAGATCAAGTTCAGGTACCAGGGATCCTCTCCCCAGCCCACCAGTGTTTGAACAGCTCCCACTTTCCCTTTAGCCACACCAATGACAACATCTATACAAATAAAACCATAAAACAGCTGAATCATCTGCAGAAGTTTATAAGTCCTGACTAAAATATCATGCGTAATATCCTGCCTATACTAAGAGCACAAGTATTTGCAAGTAAATATTGTATATACATGCTACCGACTCAGATTTTTAAAATTATATTTTGTTTATTCTTTGAGAATTTCATACATATATGCTGTGCATTCTGATCATATTCTCTCTCTAGTCTCCTTCTCCAAGCTCTTCGCATAGCGCCCCATTATGTGCTCCTCCCAACTTGACATTTTTTAAAAGCACACTGAGCCCAATTAGTGCTCCCCATATGTGCATGGGTGTAAGGCCAACGGCTAGAGCATGGGCAACCTACCAAAGACCACATCTCTGAAGAGAACGAGCTCTCCTTCCTCCAGCAACCATCAATGAGAATAGCTCCTAAATTAGAGGCTGGGCCTATGAGTTCAAAGCTGGAATTTTGATTGGCTTGATCTCCTGCAGGCAACCAGGACTCCTGTGAGTTCCTACGTGCAGAGATCCTGTTATGTCCAGGAGACTCTGTGTAGCACCTGTGAAGACTCCCCCACCAATACGCTTCCAGGCTTGGTCACTTGGGTATTCATGAGTTCATTCACAATTTCCTGCATTAGCAAGGTCCGGTGCTTTCCTGAGTCTCATGCCTCTGTTGCTCTCTCTTTCCCCTTAATTTCAATTTCCTGGCTTCCACTTTAACAGATTGTCTGAGGTTCATTGGAGGTACTAATGGTGTACAGGAACAAATGACCTTGAACCTCATCCTGCCTCTGGGTATTTCCTTTGAGGGCTATAATTTTCTTATCATTCTTGATGGCTTGGACTTTCATACCCATATATATTTTCCCCTGGAATTCTACTCCATTTCCTCCTAGCCCTAGACTCAGACTAAACCACCAGATTAGAGCAAGGCATTTGCTACAATCTGCTCTCATACAAAGCAGGGAGGGTCTGGGAGAGTGTGTGCGATGTTTTGTGAGATTCTCGTCTGTCCTTTCTGGATGCACCGATTATGGTCACTGAGTCACCAGCTAAAGCTTCCACTGAGCTCACGCCCGAGCCTCAGCACCCGTTTCTTTTCCAGCCCATCGCAGCTCATGTTCCCTTCAGCTTTCTCCTCTTAACCTTAGCTGTTTGGATCTCTGACTTCCTTTGCACTGATGATTATAATTGGGGAACTGTTCTCCGACATTCAGATGTACCTGACACGACACAGACTCTCTGAGGGTTCATTTTCCTCACAGCGTTTATTTATAGCTGAGGTTTGACGTTACCTGAGATCAAGCTTTTTTTTTTCCTCCTCTTGCAAAAGTAGACGTTCAGATTTTGTTCTCTATGGAAGGAAGTAGGACAGACATCAAGGCTCAGTATTTTTGCAGTACATCAGAGCATTTCTTTGAGAGCCTGATTCACAGCCTTTCAAGTAGACCAGATTTCCACACCGCAGTCAGTTCTATGAAAATGCCAGAAAGCAAGAACTAGGATAACTCAAACACACAAGCAGCCAAATTTAGCTTGACATCTTATTAAATATTGACCTCATGGGAATTGAGACTGAAAACAGGCTTTGAGAGAGACGCCAGCCTACACATTAACCATCTTCTTTTGTTTATTTTCCTCGTTACAGTCCTTTAGTTGTTTAACCAATATAATGAAAACAAGGTAAACCTCAGACTCAAATGATTTCCATTTTAACACGTGGCTTTGACCAAGGGGAACTAGTCAGATAATATAATCATTGCTAATTCCCTGTGTGTCTTTAATCTGTATACTGTGAAACACTTTGCCGCTGTTGACTTCCTGCTCTCCCTTACTTACCTTCTGTGGTTTGTGGGTTTTTTGTTTTGTTTTGATTGGTTTTCTTTCTCCCTTTCAATGAGAGGCTAAGCAATAGAATATCTAAAGTCACCCACTTGTTTTGACTGAGTTAAGAAAAGATCCAGCAACTGGGAGTAGTATCATACTTAGTCACCTGACAGATGTTTCCAACTGGAATACAAGAAGTAGCCTCACTCTTGCCTCTGCCTTCTCCCACCAGCAAGCCGCAAGCTTCTCTCTCATCTGAGATTAAACCTGAGGCACAGCATCGAATTTTTAGTTGTTTCCTCCACGGTTCAGCATCTTCAGCTTCTTGACTACCTAAGAAAGGATTTTAAACCAAGGATACTCAGATTCTCTCCTCTCTCTCTCTCTCTCTCTCTCTCTCTCTCTCTCTCTCTCTCCCTCCTCTCCCCTCTCACAAACTGTGTTTGTGTGTGCATGCATTTTGGTATATTTCCTTGAGTCTCATATGACAGTGGAACAAAACCTGTAGTGATTTGTAGTGTTTGTTTCATGTGAGTGGTATCACACTAATGAAGTAGATTCTAGGTCATAGTGAGATTGTTGATTGTTTTGTTTTGTTTTGTTTTGTTGGCAACATTCCATTAATTGTCCTAAGGGTAGCCACATATGATCCATTCTCTTCCTTAAAAGATTCTGATGTATACAACCACTGCTCGTCAATGTGACTGTACATATCTATACTTGCTGTTTCTTCCTTTTTAAAATTCTGTTTCAGCTTCTGAAAGTTTGAGCCAGCAGTGGAGAATCTTCAGCTCTGAGAGTTCGAGCCATCTGTGGATAATCTTGTTTTTATTGCACTTACTCCAGAGCTCTCCAAAACGAGTGCGTTAGAAGCATTCAATGAAGTCCCTCTTTTAGTCAAACTTTCGGGTTTCTCCAATCTCAAAATATTCACCACTGATCTAGCTCTCTTCATGGTTGCTGTGAGAGCTCTGGATTCACATTAGAGTCCTAAAGATTAGAACAAGGCAAACAGGTGGCTGCTTTTATTTGTTTTGTACATATATACATTTTTCTCACAGCACCAACATATTTAGGCCTTTCAGCTATAGCTCAAGAACTGGAATTCGAGAACAACTTTTATAATAGAACATTTTCAGGTTGGCTGTTACTAAATTTAAATGCCTACATTTATTTCTTGAGTTTTTCTACCATATTCCATCTTTGGGATGAATAAGTAAGAGTATCAAAGGTAGAACAATGAAAGATGCAACTCCTACCCGGTGACTTACATTAACTGTCAACATTAAAGAAGGATAGAGGGAAAGGTAAATACATTCAAAGTGTGAAAAACACAATTGTGCCCAAATGATGCCAAGAGAAGAATAAAGCAATTCAGGATGCACTTGGCACATGTTACTGTCATTAGGATTTTCACTATAGGTAGGAATATCTACTGAGTCTCTGAGTTTTTAAATGAATGTCAGGGACTTATTTCCAGGAATGTTATAAAGGTGCACTGATGTGGGATTTCACTCTGTATGCTGTGAATACCATTGGTTAATAAAGAAACTGCTTTGGGTCTGTTGATAAGGAAGAACTTAGGTAGGTGGGGATGACTAACCTGAGTGCTGTGAGAAAGGAGGCTGAATCATAGAGAAGTCATATAGCCCCACCAGAGATAGACGCCGGAACTTTATCTGGTAAGCCACAGCCACATGGTGATACACAGATCAATAGAAATGGACTAAATTAATATGTAAGAGTTAGACAATAAGAAGCTAGAGCTAATGGGCCAAGCAGTGATTTAAGTGATATGGTTTCTGTGTGATGATTTTAGGGCTAAGCAGCTGGGAACAAACTAGAGGCCTCCTTATTACAAACTGGCATCAACATGGTGGACTAAAT